GCAAAACAGCACTAGCAAAAAAAAAAAAAAAAGCAACAACAACAAAAAGACAAAAACTAGACTGAGGCGGATGCAGTCGCGTTGGGGTTCTCTGCCATCCGCCCAGTTGTGGAGCAAAACCTGTTCCTCTCATGCTTAGCAGTCCAGGGTGAATTGACCAAAGCAATGGTTATGGAGAAGCCTAGTCCCCTGCTGGTTGGGCGGGAATTTGTGAGACAGTACTATACACTGCTGAACCAGGCCCCAGACATGCTACATAGATTTTATGGTAAGAACTCTTCTTATGTCCATAGAGGATTGGATTCAAATGGAAAACCAGCAGATGCAGTCTATGGACAAAAAGAAATCCATAGGAAAGTGATGTCACAAAACTTTACCAATTGCCACACTAAGATGCGCCATGTTGATGCTCATGCTACTCTGAACGATGGTGTGGTGGTCCAGGTGATGGGGTTGCTCTCTAATAACAACCAAGCCTTGTGAAGATTTATGCAGACATTTGTCCTTGCCCCTGAGGGCTCTGTTGCAAATAAGTTCTATGTTCATAATGATATCTTCAGATACCAAGATGAAGTCTTTGGTGGCTTTGTCACTGAGCCTCAGGAGGAATCTGAGGAAGAAGTAGAGGAGCCTGAAGAAAGACAGCAGACACGAGAGGTGGTAGCCGATGACGCTGGAACTTTCTATGATCAGACTGTCAGCAATGACTTAGAAGAACATTTAGAGGAAACTGTTGTAGAACCAGAGCCTGATCCAGAACCAGAACCTGAACAAGAACCTGTATCTGAAATCCAAGAAGAGAACTCTGAGCTGGTATTAGAAGACAGTGCTCCTGAGGAGACTCAGCAGAGGGCTTCCCCAGGGCCTGCAGACATAGCTCAGACAGCACAGGAAGACTTGAGGACATTTTCTTGGGCATTTGTGACTAGTAAGAATCTTCCTCCCAGTGGAGCTGTTCCGGTTACTGGGATCCCACCTCATGTTGTTAAAGTTCCAACTTCACAGCCCCGTCCAGAGTCTAAGCCTGAATCTCAGATTCCACTGCAGAGACCTCAGAGGGAACAAGAGTGCGAGAACAACGAATCAATGTTCCTCCACAGAGGGGCCCTAGACCAACTCGTGAGGCTGGTGAGCAAGGTGATGTTGAACCTCGAAGAATTGTAAGACACCCTGACAGTCACCAACTCTTCATTGGCAACCTGCCTCATGAAGTGGATAAATCAGAGCTTAAAGACTTCTTCCAAAACTATGGGAATGTGGTGGAGCTGCGCATTAACAGTGGTGGGAAACTACCCAATTTTGGGTTTGTTGTGTTTGATGACTCTGAACCTGTTCAGAAAGTTCTTAGTAACAGGCCTATCATGTTTAGAGGTGAAGTCTGTCTGAATGTAGAAGAGAAGACTCGAGCCGCCAGCCGCCAGGGAAGGAGACTGTCGAGATAACCGCCTGCGGGGACCTGGAGGCCCTCAAGGCGGGCTGGGTGGTGGAATGAGAGGCCCTCCTCGAGGAGGCATGGTGCAGAAACCAGGATTTGGAGTGGGAAGAGGCGTTGCTCCAAGGCAGTGAACCCTCTTCACTGGTCATCACACAGCAGTAGAAACCCTAGTTCCTGCAGAAGAGGGAATTTCTTCAACCACCTTTGGTATCTTGGAGTATGAGCCTAATCTGTTATAAACGGCTTAACATTTGAACACTTTTATTCCTTTTTGTGTTAATGGTGTGTGCACCCCACCCTCCTTTCTCCTCCTGATCTTTTAGTCCTTCACTATCAATTTTGTGGAATGATATTTTAGGAAAAATGGATTTTTAAAGAAGAAAAAAAAAAAAACAAAGACTGAATTTCCTTGCTTATACAGACTGGATTTTTAACAGCCATTTCCCCAAAGGAATGTGTCTTGCTTATTACTGACATTTGGTATGTTTCATTCATTGGAATATTTCTCACTTATTTTCTACATGTTTCAAAACCTGTAAGAAATACAGGATTGGATAAAACATTTTGAAAGCAAGAAAAACTGAAATTATTTCTTCTTTTGAGAGTCATCTTCTGGTGTGGAGAAATTGCCATTGGATAAATTGATAATTTTGATTCTCACTGGTGTGGTTAAAAATGGAATGAAAAAGTGTTAGAGGTTTGTTCTTTTGCTATCACACAACAATGTCAGATCCTACTTTTTTTTTTTAATTGACATTTAAATTGTATGATAAGTTTTAAATGTCTGTAATACAACTGATACACTTTTCTCTTGAACTGTTAAAATTTTTTGAAGTAGTTTTTCTGTGTTTAATTTGTATTTGTAAAAAACCAAAAACACAAAAAAATCCCCCAAATCTGAATAACAACAGCAACAAAACAAAACAGCAAAACTGTTGTGCCTTCTATTTATCTTTGGTTCCATTCTTGGCAATTGTGTAAAGAAAAATAATAAAAACAAAAACAACCCTAGATTTGTTTTCTCGGGATCAGAGTATGTGGGGAATTTCCGAATCCTTCTCTGTCTTTTGTTAACATTTGTTATGCCTTACTCTGAAATCGAGTCTCAAACTGGAATGCCTTTGAGGACAGATCCTTCCATAGAGGTCCTTTCACCCAAATATTACAGCATTTGTGTTTACTCCAGAATCTAATCAGATTCCTAATCATAGTCCATAAAAAGGAATGTGACATTAATTAGACTTTGCTAATGGAGCTCTGGTAGCGTAGTGGTTACGAATCGGGCTGCGAACCTTAAGGTCAGTGGTTCGAAACTACCAGCCACTCCGCGGGAGAAAGATGAGGCTTTCTACTCCCGTAAGGATTTACACCCTCGGAAACCCTGTACAGGGTCGCTATGGGTCGGAACCGACTCGAAGGCACTTAACAACAACAACAATGTGCTTCAGTATCTGCTAATTTGCTAGTTTTTTCCTTTAAATTGTAGCCATGTGATGGATTGTCTCTTTTGTTATAGTTCTCGTGTTGATGAGCATTCAGTGAGTATTTCTTGGAATGGCCAATTTTTATTAAAATATTTCTGGAAGAAAATATAATCTGGTAATATAGACAAAAAACCCCAAAAAAACTAGACTGAATACTGGTAGTATATAATTGCAGAAAAGGTGGAGGGAGAGAAGAAGAAAAAAAAATCTGTAGCCTAATATGAGTATGACTTTAATGTCCTCTCTTCAGCTTCTTGCCTTCAAAGCCACCGAGAAATTTCAAGATGCCACTGTTTGTTGTTATGCTATATCTCAGGATTTATTTTAATTTTTGGCCTGTTTTGTTTTTAAACTCTCTTTCCCTGTCTACACCCGTCCTGGCCTTTCCCATATTTAAAAAAAACAAAACAAACAGTTCAGGGCCTGCTCTTGGGCTGAGAATATCTGTGTGCATGCGTGGCAAAATAACTCACCAGTGGTGAGGGTGGGGAGTGTCCACTCACTCAGGCACCCCCTCTAGTCATCAGAATTAAGATATGCAAGCAGCAGGGTGGGGCCAATGAACAGATACCAAAAGAAGAAAACCAGTACAAAGCAAAACCATCTGAGGTTCCCACAGCATTTTTTAGTGGTGTGTCTTGCCATTTGGTTTTGCCTAAATTGTTGGCTCCAGCTGCCAAGGCTGGCAGATTCAAAAGTATGTGATGTCTTACTTTTGCTACAAGTTCCATTAGCTATAAGCCTTCAAACCTTTTAAATATTCCTCTGTGGTTCCGAGTTTTGGAGCTCTGTCCTGGATCTGCTTCGTCTGGTATTCTGTGGTATCACTGATGGCGAACTTCACTGTACCTCCACCCTAGCCGCCATTAAGGCCCGCCTTTTTCACATATGATTTTTAAACAAAAAAAAAGCTCAAGGACTTTCATAATACATGACATGCAATTTTAAATGAGTTAGACACCATTTTTTATCTACTAGAATTAAAAAAAAAAAAAAAAAAGCCCTGATAATAACTGTGTGAGAAAGCAGGTAGTCATGGACACTGCTACTTGGAGTTTGTCATGAAACGATAATTTATAATTTCTATCAAAATTTTAAATGCATGTACCCTTGGACTCAGGAATTTAACCTATACATATATATTCATTCATGTGCATTATTTGTTTGTAGCTGACAAAATAAATCAGCCAAACAAAAGAAAAAGAGCAAGTAACTTTTTAAAAGTTGGTTACTTAGAAATCACGTAATTTCAAAAACTTCAAAAGCTTATGAAAATAAGAATATTTTATTTTTGACTTATCCAGCAGCTGATAACACTCTTGCCTTTTAAAGTTAACTTTGTTCCTTTCTGAGTCTTTTCCTTGGATAATGGACATAGGTAAATCTTAAACAGCTTTTAAAGCCTTTCTCCCAATCAGCCTTAGATCAAGTGTCTTCACTGCAACGGCTCAGGAAGTAGCAGACTTTCTCTTTCTAAGTTATGCATATCTCCTGTTGTTACCTAGCAAGCCCAGAGATGAGGAATGGAAGACTCACACCAGCAGGCTTCAAGGTATTGAGACTGTCAAGTCTGGCCTAGGAAAGAAAAGTCTGCATTGGGGTGATAAAGTATGTTCTTGATGGCATGTATTCCAAATCCACCTTCTGTGACAGTCCAGGAAAATGGCAAAGATATCTGACTACCTGCAGTGATGGGCCCCACACTTTCCTCAGATAACCTTGGTTGCAACTGTTTTCTGTGGTGAGCTACTTCCCATGATCTTTTGTTGTTACAAAAACTACAAACACAATGAAATGAAAACATGAATTATTAACAATAAAAAATAAAATAGGGACCAAATACTATGTGATGAGGTAGGATGAAGTAGTTCATATCATGGTTTATTTGCATCTCACCTTTTTCAGAGGCCAGAGATTTAGCAAGCCTAGGAAGCCATTGCAAAGCTCCTGAAGTTTAACAGTCTAACAGTCAAGTTTGAAATGAGAACCTAACCTAAAACCAAGTTGCATTGTTCTGCCCAATGGAGGCCAACTGTTTTCTAATGTAGAATTTCTGTGTAGGACATCTCAGGCTCTGGGAAGATGTTCTGAGATTAATACTGAAAGCTTCGCTTTGTCTGGATATCATCAAGAATCTGCTGCAGCTCCTCATCTTCAAATCGTCCCTCCAGGCTACAAGAAAAAAAAAAGGAAATGGGTGATTTAGTGAATGACAAATCTCCCACATTCTTCAATGCATTTTTAAACACCATGCAACCACTTTTCAATTTATGTCTAAAAACTGACATCCTTAAATTCAACTATATTTCTGTTACCTGCTTCTTCTCCTTTAAAAAACAGTAAGAAAATTTTCAAACATATAAAAAATAAGTTAACCTTAATAACTGGAGTCCTGATGTGGTGCTGTAGAATAAGCACTAGACTGCAAACAGCAACGTCATCAGTTCAAACCCTTCAACCATCTTCAAAAACCCTATACAGGGTTGCTATGAGTTTGAATCAACTCAACAACACTTAACAACAACTTTAACAATTAGTTCTAGTTGAGCTTGATTTTTTAAAAGAAAATCTGACAGAAACAATTGATTACACTGTGTATGCTCCCAACCAAATATTTTTCTCTCCTTTGCCCAGAATTATCTACGATTCTATAGGTGATATTTATCAGTTGCTATTTATCAGGAGAAAAAGAGGAAGACCCCCTCCCCCAAACGAGATATGTTGAACAGTGGACCCAAACATAGCAATGAATGTGAGGTTGGCCCAGGATTGGGCAGTGTTTCATTCTGTTGTGAATAGGGTTGCTATGAGTCGGTACCAACTTGATGGCACCTAACAACAACAACAATTTATCAGTTGCTATTTATCTGTCAGAATCAACTTTGGTTTGTCTACATTTTATTTTTACTTATGAGACATATGTGTATCCATAGCAACATGTAGAGTTCTGGTGTTGCACTGTAGAATAAGCTTTGGACTGCTAACTGCAAGGTTGGTAGATTAAACCCACCAACCAATTCTTGGAAACCCTATACAGGGTAGCGATGAATCAGAATTGACTCTAAACCACTTAACAAACAACAAGCAACATGTAGTATTGATTTTAAAATTTGTATGAAAAGACATCATTCTGTATGTACCCACTTGCAATTTTTTCTTTAAAAATTCTTTTAGTGTTTTTTCATGTAGTCCATGTTGTTTCAGTTCATTAATTTTTCACTGCTGTATAATACATATTGTATGAATATGCAATAGCATAGTTATTTATTCTACTGTTCACTGATAGACTGTTGTAAAATTTCTTCTATCACTAACAATGCAGTAATGAACTTTGAACATATCTTCTTGTAAACTGAGACTAGTTTCTTTAGGGCATGTATCGAAGAAAGAATTTTTGGGTCACGGGGTACATCTTTACCTTTACTGTTGTTAAGTGCCCTCAAGTCGGTTCTGACCCATAGTGACCCTGTATAGGGTTTCTGAGGTGCAGCTGGTGAGCTTGAACCACCAATGTTGCAGTTCAAACGACCTTGCAGTCCAGTGCATTAACCCACAACACTGCACCAGGACTCTACCTTTTCTAGATTCTGCCAAATTCATCTCCAAAGTGTAGGTACAAATTTACATTCTTATTATCATTGTATGAGAGTTACAACTGTTCTAATTTCTTGCTAATACCTTTTGTGGTATAAGACCATCATTCTTATATATTGTCAATCAATGTTGATAATAACTAAATTTTGAATGTACATACCACTAGACAGAAATTTTAGTTGTAGGAATGCATCCAATATACACATAATGCTTACATATCCACTACTAACCTTGGGATCAGAGCCTTGGACTCCTCAGCAGTCTCAGGGCAAAGATTTGCCAAACAAGCCAACTCAAACTTATGAAGCTTTTTCTGGAGCAACAAGCTGATCATAGGGAAGACAATTAAGACAAATACATAAATATATATGCAAAGAATGATCAATTAATTTAAAAACAAAGGAACAAATACACCTAGCAACAAAACAGAGAACATATAGTATAACAATCTTTCCAATCTGATGAGGTATAGCTGCAAAATTTGACTTTCAAATTACTTCCTGTTCCTGAAGAACAGGAAGTTCTAGTGAAGTAAGACAGACACAATGAAAATGAAGAGGGTTACCCAGGACAGACCCGCTTCTACTGTGGGGGCAAAGCAGCTTCTGCCTTTGCAAAACTACTATTCGGAATTCCTTGGCCCAGGACTTGCTTTTGCTGTGCTACAATGCTCTTCCCTTCTACTCTTTTTTACTTCCTTTGTTATTAACTTTGACTTAAACAAAATTCTCATTAAAATTTATCTAAAATTAAGTAAATACCTTGCTTTGTACAAATATATGTATAATCTGCATTTATTAAGACTGTTCAAACTATATAAAGGAATACTGTTAATACAAACTCTACCACTTGGCTGTCAGTTTGTTGTACAGTTTGTGTGGCTGTGATGCTAGAAGTTACATCACTGGTATTTTAAATACCAACAATGGTAAACAGGTTTTAGTTCAACATCCACTCTACAACAAATTAGGGAGAAGACGTGGGTAACTTCTGAAGGGTTAGCCATTAAAAAACCCCTTATGTAGCAGTGGAACACTATCTGACAAAGTGCCAGAAGATGAGCCCTTTAGGTTGGAAGGCTATCAAAATATGACCTCCTCAAAGTGTGTTGTTGTTAAGTACCATTGAATCGGTTCCAACTTATAGCTATGCTGTAAAGTAAGGTTTCCAAGGCGCAGCTGGTAGGTTTCAACTGCTGACTTTAGCAGTTCAGTGCTTATCCTACAGAGCCAAACCAGGACCCTCCAAGCATAGCTGACCTTAATGATACGGATGGAGAAAAGTTTTCATGACCTTTACTTGTAATTGGGCACAACTCAAAATGAGAAGAAACAGCTGCAAAAATCCCGTAACAATCAGCATGTGGAATATACAAAGTATGACTATAAGAAAATTAAAAGTTGTCAAAAATGAAATTTCTTGGCATAGATGAATGAGTACCTCTAAGTAATGTTTCCAACACCAAAGACAAAGAATGGTTTTTACAAAGACACTGAAAATAAAAGGCCTATTATATTATTTAAAAAAAGGAGACTTTAGATCCAGAGAGGGAGAGCGACTGTGTGCTGAAAACCTGTGGGGCACGGGGAAGGATTGCATGGAGGGGACTGTAACCATGGCAATGAGACGATATACGATAGAATGAATGTAAAACTAATGTTCTCCCATGTAAACTAACACATAATTCACAATAAAACATTTAAGGAAAAAAAAAAAAAAGGTATCTGCAATGAAGAAGTTGTTGGTCTTGCAGAATTATTATCATGCAATCTCCAGAAATGTTTCTATCATCAAGTCCATTATTTTCTAACTACTTTTACTTCGTATTTGTTTCCAACTTTCAGATTCCAATCACCAGTAATTATCAATGTATCTTAAAAAAAAAAAAAATCTTTATATTATTAATTGAGTGAGTTTACGGAACAGGTCATCAGTTTCTATGTTTCAACAGTTAACAGCATTTACCTCTAATCACTTTAACTATTCCTCCCTGTGTCTCACGCTACCATATTTCCTATGCTAAACTCCCTCTTGTTGTATATTGCCTGCCCTGTCATCCATGTTAACATGTGTCTATCCTCCAGCCCAAGAATAATTTTCCCTGCCCTGCTCCTTCTGTAACCATCAGAGTGCTTATTTTACCAAGAAAACCTTAAAGCTTTTTATAATATTAATCTCATACAATATTTGTCCTTTTGTGATTGACTAGTTTCACTTGGCATGTCCTCTAGGTTCAACCATGTTGTGAAGTTGTTTTACAAATTCATTATTCTTCAACATTTTGTAATATTCCATTGTGTGTATACACTAAATTTTTTAACCATTCTTTAGCTGATGGGCATGTAGGCTGTATCCATTCTTTGATATATATATATATGTTTTAATATTTTATTGTGAATTATGTGATAGTTTACATGGGAGAACATTAGTTTTACATTTATCCTATTGCATATTGTTTCATTGCTATGGTTATAATCCCCTCCATGCATCATCAACCAACCAAAGGGTATACACTACAGGCCTGCCCCGGGAAAGTCCCCAACTGCTCCATCTCTCCACGTCATCGTCTCTGCCTCCATCTCAGGCATCACTGCTTCTCTGGGTAGGGTCCTGCTCTCCGCTCTTCTCCCTTCATGGCCCCAGGGGCCTCTGCTGAAAAGTTAATTACTCCCCTCCTTGCTACAAAACGTCTACCTTTACATTTCCAGCCCTCACAAGCAGTCCTGATAACAATTACTCACTATTGTATCACAAGAGACCCATCTTGCATTTCATTTCATCAGCCCCGTCTAGACAGATTGTATACTACTCACTGGAGAGTCTACCTTCCTTCACACCCTCTGAATCTAGGTTCCCTATTGAAGGCTTGTAAGCCAGTCACTTCTTGCCTTTGTAGCCCCCGCATTTTGGGTAGCCAATGTCCAAGTTGCCCATCCCTGTCTACTCTGTGTATGGAGCGGGTGGGAATGATCCTTGCTGTAAGGATTTGTTCTTTTGAGCTACTGCATCCATAGGTGTAGGTCAAGTTCATCAAATTGTATCAGATTACTCTTTTTTTTCCTCTTCTTTCTTCTTCTGGTTGAGCTCTGATCATCCAGTCATTGAGGTCAGGTCAAATGGGTATTATGAAAGTGTGGGTGTTCTTGTGCATATGCCCTCTCTTTTTATCAGCTGGATGCTTCACTCTCCACTCTAGTCCTCAATGGCTATGTCACTGACTCTGGGCCTTGATATATTTCTTGTAGACAGCATATCGAAGGATCCTTGATTTCTCATCCATTCTGTTATGTCTTGATTGTACATCTAATCTATTTACATTCAGTGCAATTATCAATAGGCATGAATTGATTGTTGTAATTTTCTATGTGTTATTTTGTGGTGCAGCTGTATTCTTTGCTCCACAGAATTTTCTATGCTGAGCACATTTTGTTTGGGGGTTTTCTTTTCACTCTCATTTCTGTTGTGTTAATGTTTACTAAATATTTCTGATTTTTTTTTGGGGGGTGGTATGCAGGTATATAAGAAGCTCTGGTAGCGTAGTGGTTACAAATCAGGCTTCTAACCTCAAGGTCGGTAGTTTGAAACTACTAGCTGTTCCGCGGGAGAAAGATAAGGCTTTCTGCTCCCATAAAGATTTGCAGCCTCGGAAACCCCGTGCAGGGTCACTATGAGTCGGAACTGACTCCATGGTACTTAACAACAACAACAACATACAGGTGTATTATTTTTCTTTGAGGTTATCCTTTATTTCATACATTGTTATCTCTGGTTCCCTATTTTCATTCTTGTAGATTTTTTGTTTTTACTTTAAATACTTTGATTTCTGGACTGAATTCTGTGTGGTATTGTCATGTATGGTAATCTTACGTTGTTGTCTGCTGTTGTTGGTTCTCAGGCCAAAGAACACCCGCTAGCATTTTTTTTTTTTTTTTTTTTTTTGTAGAATTGGTCTGGTCATTGCAAATTTCTTTGATTTTTGTTTATCAGAAAATGTACTAATTTTCTCCATATTTGAGGGACAGCTTTGCTGGGTATGATTCTTGGTTGGCAATCTTTTTCCTTCAGAGTTTTGTATATGTTATCCATTGCCTTCTTACCTGCATGGTTTCTGCTGAGAAATCAGAGCTTAATATTGCTGGTTCTCCTTTGTAGATAATATTTTGTTTTTCCCGAGCTGCTCCTTGTTTTTGATTTTGGAAAGTTTGATTATGAGTCTTGGTGATTTTCTTTTGTGATCTATCCTTTTAGGGATTCATTCAACTTCTTGTATTATTATCTTATTGTCTTTCATGATGTTACGGAAGTTTTCGTCCAACAACTCTTCTACAATTTTCTCTGTGCTTGTCTCCTCCTATTGTGGAATTCCAATCACCTGGTGACAAGAGGTGTCTTCAGCTTACATCCTCACTAACCCCTAGTGTAGATCATTCTATGGAGTTCAGAGCCAGGTGGTTGTGAGTCATGGCAGTGTGAGGCAGAGGAAGAATATGCAGCTTTGGTGCTAAGCTTCAGGTGGGCTTGGCTTCAGACCTACAGAACCCAGAGTCACCAGACTAGCATTAATCTAGTCTAGCAGAAACCCTCATAACCAGTCACCCTGTCCAAAGCTGTCCTATTGCCCTAATAGACGTTGAAACCAGCTACATCAAGGGCCTCCATGAACAACTTCTGGATTGAGTATCCTGAACATAGATCAACACGTAGGCCTGTAGGAACTCCAGTGAGGGCCAGGAACTCCACTGTCCTATTCCTTCCATGCCCACCTCATCAGCTTTTTGGTTGGCAGGAGCCCCCTAGAGAGTTTTCCTCTCGAGGTCTGACAGCTGCACTGGTATTTTTGTGTTTTCCCTTTTGCACTTTTGTGGCAGTTTTTTTTGCGTGTGTTTATTCTTTCTCTTGTCATTTCCTTCAATTTTTATCCTATTTATGCTTTTATTTTTTCCTTCTGTTTCTCATTTTCTCTCTTCTTTTACTTCTATGTATCTAGTTTTACTAATCTCTAGTCTCTCTCTTTCCATTTTCCCTTGCCCTGTTCCACCCGCTAATTCTTCTTTTTATTTTCTAATTTTTCTCTTATATAGCTCCATTTTCACATCTCTTTTTTCTTTTTTCAGTTATTCTTGTTTCTGGCTGCTTCTGTTTTCATCTTTCTTCCTTTCTATTATTTTGTATTTTCATTGCTGTTTGTTTATTTTGCTTGTTGTCTATGTGGGCATGGGGGGGAGGGTTTCTTCTCTTTCCAACCTCATGTTGTTAAGTGCCTTTGAGTCAATTCTGACCCATAGCAACCCTGTATAGGGTTTCTAAGGAGTAGCTGGTGAGCTTG